AGATGGAGGAACACTCCGCTTTCCGTGACCAGGTTCGCGGAAAAGGACCAACGAAGCCAGAACAGGGGCACAAGGATAAAATCAAAGTCAATAACAACAGCTATTTCAAGAAGTCGACTAGGGCAAACAGAGGGGGGAGATATGACTTCTACACTCCCCTGAATGCACCCAGAGTCCACATCCTGGAGGAAGCCAGCAACAGCAACCTACTCGCCCTTCCACCACCAGGTCACACTCCCAACAATGCCGACAAGTCCAAACACTGTCGGTACCACAGGAACCACGGTCTCACCACGGAGGAGTGCCGCACGCTCCGTGACCGTATCGAAGAGCTCATCTAGGCAAGTCCCCTCGGCCAGTACGTCCAGCGACAACAGGGTCACCGATGGGGCTATGGTGGACGAGGACGGGGCAGAGGTCGTGGTTTGGGAGCTCGCACGGACCAACTCTCGGGCTCCCAACAAAATGTCGGCAGCGTAATACAAGCCGAGATAAGCCAGGAAACAAGGTCAGCTCCCCTACGGGGAGTAATCAAAACAATTGCAGGTGGTTTCGCTGGGGGAGGCGCCAGCACCTTGGCCTGGAGGAGACACCTGCGGAACATCAATTGCGTCCACTCTACCACCTCGGCTTCGCATCAGAGCTCACCGCCGATCTCTTTCTCTAACGAGGACTACGCAGGCGTCAATATATATATATATATATAAAATACAATTCCAAAAGCATTTATTAACAAGCCTTATTTTATTTTTTATTTTTTCCGCTGCACAATGAGGTGATTTCGGTCACATACGCAAATTGATTTAGAATCACAAATTGTGATTGCTCCAACTCCCTTCTGATCATCGAATGCAATCACACAAAACATTTCTAATCACGAAATGCAATTTACTGTACAATGCATTTCATATTAAAAGAATTTCACATGCTTTCTCTTTGACATTAAGTAAAGCAAATACATAACATTCACCTAAAGAAATTTTATCAATTCTAATTTTATATATTGTGCGTACAGTAAAAAATTTGAACAAAGTGAAAAAACTATCTTTAGTTCATATTAAAATATTTTCACTCAGGTCAATTGTAAATAAAAAATATATATCAATCATAGAGTAATAGAATATTTTTGATGGAGAAATATACCATCCTTAACCTTACTATGATATCAAATATTAGTAAATTTTATGATCACATGTTATTTCATAGAATTCATGATTCAAGAGAATTATAGTACTTAAATGATCTTAGATAACATATTTATCATTATTCTTATTCTCCATAATTTTTATGAGAAAATTTAGAAAACATACCAAAATTCATAATACAATACATAATTTCTAATAAATTGTTCTTCTTTCTCTTACTTCCTTTAATTGGTCTCTATAATGGTAAGGAAACCTCTTTTGTTTAATGCTTGACAATTCTAAGTTTTCATAATTTCCTTCATAAAAAATGTTTTGTGAAGAAGTATAAAAGGAACTCTTGAGAGAGAAAAAATGAAAGAACTTACACCAATTAATAAAACCAACTTAACTTTCGTTATCTTCTTTAACTTCTGTTTTTCAAATATTTTTTCTTTAATACGTACTAAAATTATCCTTTAATGAAGTGAGAAGAGAGAGAATTGTTTTAATAACTTTAAAACAATCTCCGATAACTCTTAATATATTTTAAGTCTAACAACCATCACATTAAAATTATTTTTTAAATATATGAGTCAATATTAGATTAAATAATTTAACATTAAAAAGATCAATTTTAAATTTAAGAGAAAAAAATAAATTTATCATAAATTTAATAAACTAAAAACACATTTAAAACTTTATTTTAATTCAGATTGTACTTATTCATGTTCTGCTCTACTAAATACTAATACATACGTTAGTACTCAAGATCGTTTGATCATAGATCATGATTGTAACTTAGTTAGCTCCTTTTTATCTTATACCTAACCAAAATTGTTTTACCTCTATGGTCAATGGTTTGCCTTCAAATATGATTCATAACTGAATATTAAGTTCACTTTTGATGCATGTTACCAAATTCACTAATTGCACAAAGGCCTGATTTGTTGTTGTTGTGAAATTATTTGACAGCTAATATTATTATTCCTAATTAATGCTTGTAAAAATTTCATTTGGCAAAGGAAGGAAGTCATTGCTAGGATAGTCTTACAAAATTTGAACCCTTTAGCTCAAGTGGAGTTTGGAATCATTTGGAATCTTAAAGATGATGTGAAACGAATGAAGAGCACTGTGTCTGCAATAAAACCTGTACTCCAAGATGATGCAAAAGTAAGGACCAACAACCTTCAAATTACTAATTGGCTGCTTAGCAGCCTCACTACCAAAGTCCTCATTTTAGGACTTTCTTAAAAAAGATATATTTTTTATATTAATATTTATATAATTTTATCAAAGTTCTATAATTTAAAAGTTACTTTTATATTTTTAAAAATTTGTTTTAAAAAATATATAAATATGATCATATTTTTAAGACTAATATCTAAAAGATGTTCTATAGATGGCTTCCTAGAGGATCTCTCTACTAAAGCATTGGAAAGAAAAGTGGTGGGTGCTAGTGGTTACAGAATCTCGAGAGAGGTGCAGATTTTCTTCTCCTGCTCAAACCAAATTGTCTATGATCTTAAATTGGGCCATGAAATGAAAGCAATCCGAAATAGGCTTGATGATATTGCTAAAATCAAGATTACATTGAACTGACGGCCCTATGCAGACTCCTATTGCATATAGGGACACAGAAAAACTTGTTCTTTTCTAAAACAGGCATGTGAGAGAATTATTATTATTTTATTATACTGAATTTCTAATTGGCTCACTCCACTTAGTATATAAGTATTATATTCCATCTTCATTATTCAACAATCGTGCACAACTGTTCCTTTTGTACACTCCTTTTTCCAAAGCAGGTTAGTCTCTCCCTCTCTCTCTAACTGCGGTATTGAATCCCTAAGGTGTCTTTCCTTTTGTAGAAAGCAACATTGAACTTCATGATAAAGCATTGATGATTGAACCTGACATCATTATTCTAAAATTTTCTCTCTCAATTCCAACATGTATACACCCATTTAATTTCCTTTGTTTATTCTAATTTTGGTTGCTCACTTATGTTCTTGTCTGACTTCTTAGGTCAATGGTTTTTCTACAATATGATTCATAACAGAATATAAGGATGGACATATTTGGATAAATTTTTCTAAAAATACTAACAGCATAAGAAAATCTGATGAAAAAAATGAAATTAAATTAGCATAAACTAAACTTAGTTTATCCATAAGTTAAAAAAAAAAAAAGTTTTTGAAGAAGCTAATATGAGTTCTTCAACAAATTAACTTATTTATAAGTTAATTTTAGCTTATCAAAAAGTTAATTTCATTTCTCCTTTCTATTTTTCTCTCTTGTGAGTATTTTTAGAGAAGTTTATATAAATGCATGTTTGATTTATGTAGTGGACCTCACTAATTGAACAAAGGCTTGATTTGTTGCTTTGGTAAATTATTTGATCCCTAATATTATTGTTACTAATGCTTGTACAAAACTTCATTTGGCAAAGAATGGAAGCCATTGCTGGGATCATTTTACAAAACTTGAACACGTTAGCTCAAGAGGAGTTTGGAATCATTTGGAATCTCAAAGATGATGTAGAACAAATGAAGAGCACTGTGTCCGCGATAAAAGCTGTACTCCTGGATGCAGAGGCAAAGGCCAACAACCTTCAAATTAGTAATTGGATGGAGGAGCTGAAAGATGTACTTTATGATGCAGATGACTTGCTAGATGATCTCTCTACTGAAGCTTTGAAAAGAAAACTGATGCGTGGCAACAAAATCTTGAGAGATGTACAGATTTTCTTTTCCCACTCAAACCAAATTGTCTATGGATCTAAATTGGGTCATGAAATTAAAGCAATCCAGAAGAGGCTAGATGTTATTGCTAAAAACAAGATTACATTGCAATTGACTGACCGCCCTATGGAAACTCCAATTTCATACAGGGAGCAAAGACAAACTTACTCTTTTGTGAGTAAAGATGAAGTCATTGGGAGAGAGGATGAAAATGAACTTCTTAAAAGTTATTTACTAGACACCAATGTTACAGACAATGTTTCTGTAGTTCCCATAGTTGGGATTGGAGGACTAGGTAAGACTACGCTTGCTCAACTTGTTTACAACGATCATGCTGTCCAACGCCGTTTTCAACAAAAAATGTGGGTGTGTGTCTCAGATGAATTTGACATAAAGAAAATAGCTCAAAAGATGATGGGGAATGACAAGAATAGCGAGATTGAGCAAGTACAACAACATCTCAGAAGCATGATTCAAGGGAAGAAGTATCTACTTGTGCTGGACGACGTGTGGAATGAGGATCGTGAATTGTGGCTAAAATTGAAGAGCTTGATCATGGAAGGAGGTAAAGGGAGTATGATAATTGTGACAACACGTAGTAGGACCGTGGCAAATATAATGGGCACACATCCACCTCTTTTCTTAAAAGGTCTAGATTTAGAGAGATCTTGGAAGCTATTCTCTCAAGTTGCTTTTGATGGGGGCAAAGAACCAAATGACAGAGAGTTGTTAGCCATAGGAAGGGATATTGTTAAAAAATGTGCTGGGGTTCCCCTAGCCATAAGAGTTATTGGCAGCCTCTTGTATTCTCGGAACTTGGGCCGGAGTGATTGGCTATATTTTAAGGAAGTTGAGTTTTCAAAGATAGATCAAGAGAAGGACAAAATCTTTGCAATCCTGAAACTGAGTTATGACCACCTTCCTTCATTTTTGAAAAACTGTTTTGCTTATTGTTCATTGTTTCCAAAAGGTTTTGAGTTTGACAAGAAAACGCTCATTCAATTATGGGTAGCTGAGGGGTTCATTCAACCATCAAATGACATTAGATATGAAGAAAATGTTGGTCATGAGTACTTCATGAATTTGCTTTCAATGTCACTTTTCCAAGATGTGACTATAGATGATTATGGTGATATAAGTACCTGTAAAATGCATGACCTGATACATGATCTGGCACAGATAGTGGTTGGGAAAGAGTATGCCACTGTTGAAGGAATAAAAGAAAACATTGGAAACAGAACACGTTATTTGTCATCTCGAACCACGTTACATTTTGCAGACACATCATCATCTTCCTGCACTTTAAGGACTCTTCTTGTGCTTGGACAGAAACGTTTTGAAAGCAACAATTTTGATCGGTCACATTTTCGTTTTCTTTTAAGCATAAAGTGCTTACGGGTGTTAACACTTTGTGGGTTGGATATTATAACAATTCCAAAGAGTATTAAAGTGTTGAAGCATTTGAGATATCTTGATCTTTCAAGGAATCATTTTCTGGTAAATCTTCCACCGGAGCTTACTAGCCTATATAACTTGCAAACTCTAAAACTTTCTCAATGTTTTAAACTCAAAAAATTACCATCAGATATGAACGAAAGTCTCAGGCATCTTGAATTGAATGATTGTGGGGAATTGACATGTATGCCAAGTGGGTTGGGACAGTTGACCAATCTTCAAACACTGACACATTTTTTGTTGGACTGTGGAGGCAGAAGGGGTAATATAAGTGAATTGCGTGGGCTAAACAGCCTCACAGGAAAATTGGAAATTAGATGGTTGGATTCCCTGCGAGAGCATGCTGCAGTGGTTGAGTCATCAAAGGTACTTGTTGAGAAGCAACATCTTCAAGAATTGGAATTACGATGGTGGAATGATGGAAAAGAGATTAGCGAATGGCCATCATGGTGGGGGGGTGGTATTGCAGAACCACATTTGCAAGAAAAAGAAAACAAGAGGTGGTTGGAAGATGAGAAGATTTTAGAAGGGCTGCAGCCACATGACTCAATTAAAAAAATAGTAATAGATGGATATTGTGGCAAAACGTTACCAGACTGGATAGGGAATCTCTGGTCACTCAAGAGTCTTGAAATCAGAAACTGTATTGATTTGATATCACTACCTGAAGGAATTCGCAACCTATCTTTACAGCGACTTTACATATATAATTGCTCACCAGTGCTAGAAACAAGGTGTGCAACAATAAATGGTGAAGACTGGCCAAAAATAGCTCACATTCCAGCTGTTTTGGTTTGGAAAGGGGGGAGTCCCTTATCAACAAAGCGTGGATCACCAGAGAGACCAATGACCCCATAGAAGAGTGGGGAGCATCAAAGGCAAAGAAAACACAGAGCAGGAGCTGGAGGTTGATGCAGATTCTATTGCTGACATGTTCCTGGATAAGAAGTCACTTCCATCTCTACACTAAGTTTGCTTTTACAGTTTCTCTTATATGTTGCTATTTTGTCTCATTTTGATGTACCTTGAGATACATAGTGTGAGCTTCCTTCATGTTAGATTTAAGGTCAAAAATTAAGTTTGAGGTTGTAATATCTCTATGAAGTACTTGGAAGCAAACATTAGTTTAAAGTTTGGAGTGAGAGTTGAACCAATATTAGCCTACTTATATCATTATTAATATATTTTTTTTTACATTTCCTATATTATTTTGTGCTCTAGATTGCTGTTATTGAGATCAAGCTCCTTTTTGTTGAAAATTTAATGGCAGTAAAATGTAAGAGGAAATTGTTTTTAGATTGACATGTCTGCCACATGGGTTGGGACAGTTGACTAATCTTCAAACACTAACATTTTTTATTGGATTTTAGAGTGATATTAGAAATGACATGAATGATATGTGGGTTAGAACAGTTGAGACACACTTTTTTACTGGATTGTAGGGGTAGAAGTGAATTGAGTGGGCTAAACAGCCTTAGGAGTTTAGAAATTAAATGGTTAGATTCCCTGCTAGATATTGCTGTAGAGGTTGAGTCTGCAAATGCACTTCTTTAGAAGCAACATCTTCAAGAATTATAATTACAGTGGCATGATGAGGATGTTAGAGAATCACCATTATAGTGGGAGGTAGAAGGTAGAGAGGGATTCACCACTTCTTTTGGGGAGGAGGGTAAAGAATCACAATTATTGTGAAGGATCCTATTGCAAACAGACAGTTAGATGAACAAGCAGACAACAAAATGTTGAAGGATGAGAAGATATTACAAAGCCAGAAGCCACATCACTATATTAAAAGACTAGTAGTAATAGATAGATATTGTGGCAAAAGTTTATCATAATGGATAGGGAATATCTCGTCACTTTTTTGAGTCTTGAAATTAGCAATTGCAATGGTTTGAAACCTCGAATCCTTTCACCATCTGCTCTCAGGTATATCACTTGAGTATCCACTTATCCAATTTCCGGTATATTCTCAATTTCATGTCCTCTGGCCTCCATAATCTATTCACTAGGCTTCCCGGAAAGCTTAAAAATCCACCCCTATCATTTGACTTATTTTGCACTTAAACATCCTCATTCAGTGTCCATTCTTCTCTTCCCTCTAGCCTCACTCTTATTCTGCATATGACTTATTCTGTGATGAATGCATAAAAGACAGGAACCATTTATATTTGAGTGATTGAGTCAATCACAATTTTCTAGCAATGAATGAATGATTCATATTTTGCTTGTGTTAAAGAGGTAATTTTCTCTTCACTTGTCTAAATTTTTCATTTAAGTTCTGAATCTGTGATGATATTTATGTTTTTCTACACTTTTGTGGCTTTATTTATTTACATCATGTATATTTATTTTCTGATTTTGGAATTTGGATTGATGGTTCCGTTGCTTCAAGAATTATGAGCTGTTTGTTTTTGCTGCCATATATTATGTATCTTAGTTTCCCAATCTTTTTTTCCCTATAGATTGTAATAGCATTGTTTCTTTAAGTTAATACTTAAGTGGGATAGAAACTCATCTATTGTGTGTAGTTGTATCTTAAGTTTATTTTTTTTATCCAATTTATAATTCAAAATGACAATGCGGCAGTGCCCAATTGATTGATACTTGTGAATCGTTGCTTGCATAATGGCATATAAATCACAGTTTTCGATGGTATATGGCATATAAATCACACTGTACTAATTTATGCAGTGGATTAATGATGAACAGTTTAAGATAAAATGCAATGTAACAAAACATCGACTCAAAAGTGATATGATTCTGTTAAAAAAGAAGGGTGCTGTTATATTGATTTACTACTGCAGATCTCACAAGTCATACTTATTTTGATATGGTATGATCCGTAACAAAATATCTGTATAAGATCCCTCTCTCACTCCTCTCTGGCTCCGTAGATAGCATGAAGAATTAAAGAAGAAAACTTAAAAGAAATAAAAATGGGAAGAACGTGCCTCAAGTCTATGTTCTTGTTTTTTCTCTATTGTATGCTTGGATAATAGGAGTGTTGAAAAAGGAAAACAGAATAATAGGAAGAGTGGAGAGCAAAACAGAGCAAGACAAGTTCTTAGTGGGCATTCAGTTTTCCATTTACGTTTTCTTTTTCATATCAGCAAGTTACAATACAACAACTTCTGATATTGCAAGCTTACTATTAAAAAAAATGCATACATTGTTAACTTAGTTGTACTACCCAGTTTTACTTATTGCATATTTACCCAAAGTATACTCCAAATCACCTACTTTTCACCTAAAGCAAATTATTGTCAAACAAGTACAGTATAACAGATTTTGTATTCAAAATATCAAGAAAATTCTCAAAGTCTAACACTCCTTGAGATTTTTCTTGAACACTCCAAGTCTTGATCTTAGTATTTCAAATTGACCCTTAGAGAGGGCTTTGGTCATGATATTTGCAATCTATTCCTCAGAGCTGCAATGCTCCAACCTGATTTCTTTTGACTTCTCTGCTTCTCTAATGGCATGAAACTTTACATTAATGTGCTTTGTTCTTTCATGTTGGACAAGATTTTTAGCAATAGAAATAGCAGATTTTGTTATCCACCCAAATGACAGTAGCTTCATCTTGAATTTTCCCCGCATCTAATAAAATCTTTTTCAGCCAAATAACCTTATTTGTAGTAGCTGTAGCTGAAATATACTCAGCTCTAGCTGATGACTGGGCCACGACATTCTGTTTCTTTGAATCTCAAGAAAAAACAACACTGCCAAATGAAAACACATATCTAGCGGTACTTTTAGAATCATCGATACTTCCTGCCCAATCACTATCTGCATATCCTTGAAGTTCTCCACTTTCATTTTTTAAGAAATACAAACCATAATCAATTGTAGCTCTTATATATCTCAAAACTCTTTTTGTTGCATCAAAGTGAACTTGACTTGGAGAATGCATGAATCTGGAAAACAAACTTGTAGCAAACATTAAATCTAGTATGGTTGCTAAAAAATACAACAGACTTCCGATTATACTTCTATAAACAGAAGCATCTGCTATATTTTTCCCATCATTCTTTGAAAGTTTTTCATTTACAATAAGTGGAGTAGCAATAGGCTTGCATTTCTCCATGTGAAACTTCTTCAATATCTCCAAAGCATATTTTCTCCGTGAAATGAATATTCCATCATTTTGCTAAGAAATCTCCATTCCAAGAACGTATTTCATTTCACCCAAGTTAGTCACTTCAAATTCTTTCTCCATGTCCTTCTTAAATTGGTTTAAGGAATTTGATTCATTTCCTATAACCAATAAATCATCAACATACAAAGACACAATGAGTTGCACTTCATTGTTTGACTTCTTCACATACAAGGTGGCTTCATTTTCACTTTTTTTGAATTCTTTTTGCAAAAGATAACCATCAATTCTACTATACCAGGCTCTTGGTGTCTGTTTCAAGCCATAAAGAGCTTTATGAGGCTTATAAACTTTATCTTCACTTCCTGGAACTTGAAAACCTTCAGGTTGATCAACATATATGTCTTCATCAAGCAATCCATTTAGAAAAGCTGATTTTACATCAAAATGAAAAAATTTCCAGCCAAGTTTTGCTGCCAAAAAGATCAGTAATCTGATTGTATCATGTCTTGCAACAGGTGTAAAAGTATCAAAAAAATCAACTCCATACTGTTGGAAGTAACCTTTCACCACCAATCTAACCTTAAGTTTGTTTATAGAACCATCAAGATTGAGTTTAGTTCTGTAAACCCACTTAACACCAATCACTTTTTTATTACTTGGCCTATCAACAAGTTGCCAAGTTTTATTTTCTCAACCATCTTTATCTCCTCCTTCATGGAAGCTCTCCAACTTTCAAATTTAGTAGCTTCTTCATACCTTGTATGCTCCAATGTAGCAACATTACATCTTGCATAAATATCCTCCAAGGTTTTTGTACTTCTCACTGAAAATTCAGTGTCACTATCATAGTTCTCTTCATTATCTTCAAAATCTTGCTCTTGCAGAGTGTCTTCATCAAACAACCCTTTACTTAAGCCTTCTGCTTATGTTTCTTCCAATTCCATTTTGAAAACTCATCAAATTTTATATCTCTACTAACAATAATTTTTTTGTCTCCAAGTTCTATACTCGGTATCCTTTGGAGTTAATATTGTACCCCAAAAAAATACCAACTTCACACTTGCGATCAAGTTTATCTCTTTTCACATCTAGAACATGAGTGTAACACACATAACCAGATATTTTTAAATGCTCCACTAAAGGCTTCTTTCCACACCATGCTTCATAGGGTGTTGTACCTTTCAATTCTTTGGTAGGCAATAAATTCAACAAGTAAACTGAGGTTTTTACTGCCTCAGCCCAAAAAGTCTTAAGAAAACCTTTCTCAAAGAGCAAACATCGAGCCATCTCCATCACTGTTCTATTTTTTCTTTCACTCACTCCATTTTATTGAGGAGTGTAAGGAACGGTGAACTGATGTTGTATTCCAGCTTGATCACAAAACTTTTTAAATTCCTTTACTGTATACTCAGTTTCATTGTCAGATTTGAGTTTTTTAATTTGACAACCAATTTCATTCTTAACCAAAATCTTAAACTTCTGAAATGCAACAAACACATCTGATTTTTGCTTTATAAAAAACACCCAACTCATTATTGTAAAATCATCTATAAATAGTAAAAAATAGGCTAAAACCCTATTTTGGTCCCTCATAATAATTATTTGTTTCAATTTAGTCTCACTTTTATTTTTGGTTTCAATTTGGTCCCAAATTAATTAATTGGTTTCAATTTGGTCCCAAATAAATGAATTGATTTCAATTTGGGACTTCCGTCCAAATTATTTAAACGGAGTTAACTTTTGGCCACGTGGATGCCACGTAGATGCATACCTGGATACCACGTGGATGCCAAATTTTTTGAAAACATCTGGAACCAGAACGGCCCGTTCTGAAAACACAACGGGCTGTTCCAGATGCACTCATGGTGTGTTAATTTTGCACCTGAAACAGTTCGTTCCAGATGCAACAGAACGGGCCGTTCTGGTTTCAGAACGGGCCGTTTTGGTTTCAGAACGGGCCGTTTTGGTTCCGTTCTGGATTCAGAACGGGTCGTTCTGGGCCCGTTCCAAAACTGATAATAGAATATTCTTTATTAATTTTATTAAAAATATAATAATTTTGAAAAATATTTTATGGTAAAAATTTTAAAATTA